CTTCTGCCTTTCCTGTGGGTTCTGCAGCCTGACCGCAGCTTGTCAGGCTTGCTTTGCAAGCACCTTTACCTGTTGCATCATCTCCCAGGCCCTGTTAGAGCTATCACATACACTTTAACTTTTCTGATAAGAATGGAGATATTCTAAAGAGACAGTGACCCCTCCCTTCAGCTATCAGACTATTGAAACAATGGTCCCTGTGGAATTGGAATTTTCCCAGGAATCTCATGCTGGGAGAAAGAAAAAGCTATGCCTGGTGCCAACTAGAGTCTCCTGAATAGAGATTTCACACTGGCAACGAGGAGAGATTAGAGAGGAGACAGTGGTGGGTTAGTGATAGCCAGGAGTACACTCTGACCAGGACGGCTTGATTATGCCAACCTCTTTCTATCTGTTGAGACCTAAACCTCATGATAAGACCCTAAAAGTGACCTAGTGTCAGGGTCACTGGACCGCTTTATTTATTCCTCTTCCTAGTTTGCAACATTGGATCAATCTCTCTTCTCATTTCATGACCGCTTGTCTCTGTAGTCGGCCTGTCAAGGATGAGTGCTGGAATGTAGCTCCTTAGGGCTGTTGGGACCCAGGCTTTGACCCTAACATCCCCTTAACAGTGTATGGACTGTGACTGTACTTAAGTGTTTTGATTTGCTAAATTTAGAAGTGATTATTTTATTTTATTGGAACTTATTTTTACATATGTTTACCACATATGTGCTGGTGCCCAGGGTCGACAGAAGAGGTCTTCAGAGCTAAAATTACAAGCATTTATGAGTCTTCTGATGTGGATTCTGGTCCAAGTTTTGGCCCTCTACAAGAACTGCAAGCACTTTGAATTCCTGGATTATCTATCCAGTCTGAAAAGTGATTATTTTAAAAAAGAAAGAAAACATCCATACCTTACTAATGACAAAATGCTACAAACTAACAAATTATGCACAGATGATGTCAATGAAGATGACAGTAACTTATTATTAGGCACTTTCTGTTTGCTAGTACCTTACTAAATGCTCCCTAAGTTTAACTTAGAACTCAGAAACATTTGTTGCCTCTAGAGTAGTAAATCAATGTCCAATTAAAAGTGGTTTAAAAAAATAAAGAAAATTTACCATTTCATAATTTTGTGATGTACTCAGCTCAGTCAATCCTGTCTCTCTGAAGCCACCCTCAATGTTGAGGACATATTCCTTTCAGATCCATAGTATCAGGTGTCAGAGCGGGTTATGTAAGGTAAGCGATTCCTCGAATCTCTCCTTACTAATTCTCACTGTAAAAGAAACATTCCCTTCTCTTGGCTCCAGTGGCCAGGACTAAGTCTTGTGTTGCTACAAGGTCAACTGAGAGTATCAGGGCTTGGAATTTGCTGCTGTAACAATGGGTGGGATAGCAATTGGGGAAGAAGCAGACATGTCACTCAAAGGTATTTTTCTATTCTCCCCTTTACAAAGGAAGCTGCCACTTTCAAAGGTTCAGCACTTTACTAAGCATTAGACTGTGTGGTGCTAGCATAGAAGTCTAGCACTGTTGAATCCAGGGCCCCAGGGCTCCAACCCCCAGTCCTTTTCCCAGCTATGTCTCTTTTCATCCATCACAATGGGTTCCTTATTTATATAAGGAATATTGGCCCTCCTGTTTTATTGAAATGTGGTACTGATTAAAGAGACAAGGTACGTCTAAAGTACACTGCCAGGCTCTGATGTATGGAACTCACTGTGTAGGCCAGGCTGGCCTTAAACTCACAGAGATCCTCCTGCCTCTGCTTCCTGAGTGCTGGGATTAAAGGAAACCACCACTAAGCCTGCCTCTATCTAACATCTTTCTAATTTAATTTTTTAGATTGTATTTTACTGTATGGGTGGTTTGCCTGTGTGTATGTCTGTGCACCATGTGTGTACAGTGTCTGCAGAGGCCAGAAGAGGGTACTGGATCCCAGAGACTGGAGTCACAGATGGTTGTTAGTTCCTATCATAGGTACTGGAGCTCTTAACCACTTAGCCAATCTCCAGCTCATGATTATGAGGATTCTTGTAGCAATATCAGCATATTTTAATATTACTGAATTTAGATTAATAGCATTCACAAGCCATAGTAAAAAGAGTAGAATTATTAAAATGAACAGTTATAGGAAAGATTGGCTTTCTCAGATACTGAAGCTTACCTTAAAGACACTGATTGTCACAGTGTGAGAGCTGGAATACATTGACAGGTTAGTAGAAGAGATATGGAGTTCAGAAGCAGACCCAAAATAGGCCTTCAAACACTTACCTGATAATAGTGGGGACTCTTAAATTAGTGGGAAGAGATCTTAGCACAAAAGAATCTTAGAATATTCAGTGAAAAAAGTATTATCTTCTGGCACATATCCAGTAAATCTCATGTGAGTTTATGGAAATAACAAAGTCACAAAGTTGTTAGAAGAAACATGAGAGTATTTTCTGCTTTCTGGATAATCCTCACATGGGATGAGTCATTCCAGAAAATAAAAAGAGGATAGGGAGCCGGGCAGTAGTGGCGCACACCTTTAATCCCAGCACTTGGGAGGCAGAGGCAGGCAGATTTCTGAGTTCGAGGCCAGCCTGGTCTACAGAGTGAGTTCCAGGACAGCCAGAGCTACACAGAGAAACCCTGTCTGGAAAAACCAAAAAAAAAAAAAAAAACTAACAACATAAAAAAACACCCGGGGCCGGGACACCCCCCCCGGCGGGGGAGAGGAGGAGGAAGAGGAGGAGGAGGAAGAAGAGGAGGAAGAGGAGGAGAAGAAGAAGTAGAGGAGGAGAAATGAAAACAGATAAAGTCTACTATATGCAAATAAAAACTACCTACATAAAAAAAGACCATAAGAAAAGTCATAATCTATACTGAGAAAAATATTTACAACTTATATCACAAAGAGACCATGGCTAATGTAGCCAACATTTAACTAAAGCTATCCACTGCTACTAGTAAATATGAACAGATTAACCAGAAAGCAACGGGACCCAAGCAAAGGATATACACAGGTATTTCACAGAGAAGATAATGTCAAAGGCCCTAACACACATGGAAATTTTTATCTTACTTTAAAACATCCTGACTAAAGGCTTAGGGTAAGCTGGGCATGACAGCACATACCTGTAATCCTAGCACTCAGAAGGAAGGGACAATTTCACCTCTGCTTGTGTTTGAATCCAGTCGGGACTGCATAGTACATTCCAGGAAAGCTTGGGCTACAGAACCTGCCTTAGAGAAAGCAAATAACAACACCACATCTAATGGCGTGTAGTTTTTTGCTTCTTTTTGACGACTAAAGTTAGCAAACATTCCATTTGGAAAGCTATGGGGAAATGGCTGATAATATGCTGGCCAAGAGGTAAATGATGCAATATTTATGGACTGTCTATACAACTTCTGCATGCATTGTATAACCAGACCGCCCTCTTTGGTGCAGCTGCTTGTATTCTAATGCTAATTGGCTCCCCCAAAACAATTAGCAGAAGGTCTGCACCTAGCTTCTGGGAACCTGCCCCCAGCTAATTCTGATTGGTAAATAAAGATGCCAGCAGCCAATAGCTGGGGAGGAGAGACAGAGGCGGGACTTAGGATTCCCAGGCTTGGAACCTTGAGAAGGAAAGGAGACACTGTGCCTGAGGTATGTAAAGGAGAGAGAAGCAGAGGTGCCATGTAAAGGGATCAAGAGATCTGGGCCCAGAGGGGTGCTCAACTGGGTCTAGAGTAGCTAGTAGATGGAACACAGACATTTGTAAGTGGTAACTCAGAATTATCAGTGGGAGGTAGATGCTAACAGCATGGAGGTTAGGCAGTTGCTCAGCTACTGTGCGGCTTAAGGCATATTAAAATATAATGGTTGTGTGTGTCTTTCATTCAGAAACATAAATCATTGAGGTGGATAGTAGCCCCATGCCGGGATTTATTTTAAAAAACTAATACTACACTTTGGGGCCTTTATCTTCTCAGTTATTAATAATCTATCTTATTTTTTGTAGCAGTGATGGTTAAAATCATAGCTTCATGCATCCTTAACAAATAAATGCTCTACCACTGAGCTGTATTTTCTGCATTAGGTTCCTGGGCTGAGATATAAATTATGAACCATAAAATTCACTGTGTATGCAGTCAGCTCAATTGTTTGGATTTATTTGCAGAGTTGTGCAGTTTCACTTCGATCTAATTTTAGAATATTTTCATGTCATAGTGCTCCTTACCAACACAAATCAAATGCTGAGGGCTGCTGCACTGGCTCACTTAGGAAAGTACTTGCTGGGCAAACATGGGGACCTGTATTCGAATCCTCAGCACTCACAGGAAAAGGCAGGCATGATGTCTGTCATCCTAGTGCTGGAAAGGCAGAGATAGATTCCTGGAGTTCTCTGGCTGGGTTGTCTAGCCTAATCAGTGAGCTTCAGGTTCATTGGGAGACTCTGTCTCAAAAGTTAAGGTAGAGATAGAAGAAGAAGCCCAACATCAACTTCTGGCTTCCACACACGTGTGCACACACAAATATATACTGTATCACACACACAGACACACGAGAGAGAGAGAGAGAGAGAGAGAGAGAGAGAGAGAGAGAGAGAGAG